CCCCAAAACCCCAAAACCCCAAAACCCCAAAACCCCAAAACCCCAAAACCCCAAAACCCCTTTTTAGTCATCAAAAATTGATGACGTCAAGAAGGTTAAAGATATGAAAATCTATGGCATCCTTTCCATTACTTATGCTGCCACTTTGGCTTCCTCTTTGACAAGAACGCTGTCACTCCCTCCACGACATCCTCGGTTCCCGTCAAAGCGTTGAACATGGCTCTTTCGTAGTCAATTCCCTGCGACAAAGTGCTTTCGTGGGCATACCTTACTCATTTCTTTGCTGAAGCCACTGCTGGTAGCGACTGCTTCGATATTTTCTTAGCGAGCTTCAGAGTCTCTTCCATGAGTTTGTCGTGTGGGACCACTCTGCTTGCAAGAGACACTCTGTGAGCTTCTTCGGCTGAAATGGTGGCGCCAGTCAAAATCATTTCCATGGCTTTAGACTTGCCTACGCTTCTAATGAGTGACTGAGTGCCACCTGCACCTGGGATCAGACCTAGCTTGATCTCAGGAAGTCCGAACAAAGCTTTGTCTGATGCCACAATGATGTCGCACATCATGGCAACTTCGAGGCCTCCACCAAAGCAGTAGCCATTGACACAGGCAATAATTGGTTTGCTGAATTCTTGGATTGGCCTGGCCCAGTCTTTCATGAGAGAAGACTTAAATTTGACAGCTCCGGTGTATCCGAAGTCGTCTTGGAAGCCAGAGATATTTGCTCCAGCTGAGAAGGTATTGTTAGAGCCAGTCAGTACTACACAACCGATATCCATGTCCGATTCGAACTCATTTAACTTTTCTATTAATGGTGTCAAGGTTTCAATGCTAAGTGCATTTAAAGTTGCTGGAAAATCCCAAGTAAGAATTGCTGTACGAGTCTCCTTTTTAATATCTACATGCATTTTTCCACTGCTTTCATCTACCCTATTACTAGCGATATGGTTTTTAAGCATTCCTAGCCTTTTGCTGGCAGTTTCCATTGCTAAGATTTCTCTGGAATAAAATATTATATTACGTCATTCTATTCAGAGATCTGTTTATGGGGTTTTGGGGTTTTGGGGTTTTGGGGTTTTGGGGTTTTGGGG